CATCATCATCATCATCCTCATCCTCATCCATCCTCATCCTCATCCTCATCATCCTCATCATCATCATCATCATCATCATCATCGTCATCATCATCATCATCATCATCATCCTCGTCCACGTCCACCTCGTCGTCCTCCTCCTCGTCCTCCTCCTCCTCCTCCTCCTCGTCGTCGTCCTCCTCCTCCTCCTCTCCTCCTCCTCCTCGTCCGCCTCCTCATCCTCGTCCACGTCCACCTCGTCCTCCTCCTCCTACTCCTCCTCGTCCTTCTCCACGTCCTCCTCCTCCTCCTCCTCGTCGTCCTCCTCCTCCTCCTCCTCGCCCACCTCCTCCTCCTCGTCCTCCTCCTCCTCGTTCTCTTCCTCCTCCTCCTCCTCCACCTCGTCCTCCTCCTCCTCCTCCTCCACCTCCTCCCTCCTGGTCCCAACCTGGTCCATAGTTCAGCGACTTGGCTGTAGGGATATGGGAACAACAAATGACATACGTAAACATAAAAACTCGGAGGTCCGCGCGGATGTTTCGGATCCGCGCTGGACCCCCCTCCCTGGCGCGCGGAGCGCGCCAGGGGCCCCTGCGCCGATCCGAGAAATCCGCGCGGACCTCAAGAGTCTTTATGTTTAGGTCATTTGTTCGTTCCCCTAAGGGAGGGGGGAGGAGATGATGATGAGGAGGAGGATGGTCCATGGTTCAGCGACTTGGCTGTACAGTGGAGGCCAGTCCACAAGAAACATTCCACAAGAAACCCGACCCTGAGACCCCAGGGCGCCCATCGGCTTTTGGTGTGGGAGCGCCACGCTCTCCATGGCAAAACCATCGAAGCCCAAGAAACCCAGGGCATCCTGGAGGCGAGCAGGGTGTTTCTTGGCATGGCTATAGGGAGGGGGGGAGATGGTGATGAGTGAGGAGGACTCAGAGCAGCGGCAGAAACAGAGGAAAGAGGAAGGTCGGTCGATCCAGCAGTTGGGCCCTCTTCCTGGTGGCCCTGCTGGTACCGCTCCCGCCCCGTGGGGAAAAAAGCACAGACTGCCCGAGGCATAACCGAATTCACTTTGTGGGGTATGAGATGTTCCTACCGATGGAGCGCCGGCTTTGAACCAACAACAAAAACACGCATTGGGATGCCGGAGACGCCCCACAAAACTGAGGGTACAGCAAAGTTCGAAGCCAAACATTGAAAACGAAACTCCTCAAACATTTTGTGCTTGCAAACGCGGCTAGGGGGGGCGAGGACTCTCCGTGGCAGCATCCGCATCTTTCGATGCCGTCCCTGTCAGCACGCGCGCGTGCCGTTCGCATCAGGAGCCCAGCGAACAGAGATCGCGAAGCTGATCCGCAACCCAAAGGGAGGGCATGACGAAGACGGGGAGCAGCAGCAGCAATGATGGGCAGCGGCGAAGAGCAAGGGGAAGCGAAGTGAGGCGGAACGAGGGCATGGGGCAGGGCTGCGGATCGAAGTCTCAGAGGCGGTCTGGGCCTCGTGAGGGTGCTCCTCGAGGCCATCTGGGCCTCTCGGAGGAAGAGCTGCGGCCGCCTGGGGCCTGGGCCACCTCCCCTGAGATCCGACGTCTTGACATGTCCAGCACGGGGTCCCCAGCAGTCTGGACCCCTTCCCGGGGGCCGCCTTTCTGCAGGACCTGGCACGGCCCCCAGAAGCCGAACATCTACAACAGCAGAACAGCATCCGCGTTTCATGCTGCTGAGTACGCTGGAAGTCTGGGACTGGCAACGCCCGAAGCACTGATGAGGCGCAAGACCCGCTCGGACTTCCGCCAGAGGAGTGTCTCTTGGGGCCCTGAGGGATGGGACCCTGAGGATGGGAAGCGGACCTGAGGAATTAGATCATGCATTCATGCATTGAACCTGCACTGTTTGAGCATCTCATCCTTCGGCCCCCGTCCCTTAGGGCCCCACCTTTGAACCGCCGAACTATGACCGATCCCCGATGATGAAAACTGCCAGCGTCCTACCATGACATAACATGATGGACAGAAGAGACAACGATGCAGAGAGCCTGGATTGTGTCTGCCGGGGCCAGCGCGGGTGCAGTCCTGCCCCTCCCCCATTCCCCCCCTCCTCCTCCTCCTCCTCTTCCTCCTCCTCCTCCTCCTCCTCCTCCTCCTCCTCCTCATGGTCGTCCTCCATCTCCTCCTTCCCCTCCTCTTCCTCGTGTCTCTCTCTCTCTCTCTCTGGCTCTGCCTGTGCTGCTCCTCTCGTTCTCTCGTAGCCTCTGGTGCTCCGCCGCTCTCTTTATCTTCTTGTGCGTGCTGCTTCGTGCGTTCAGCGTTGGTTGCGCGAACAAGCGCGCGTGGCCGACAACTATCGCAACTTTGCACGTGTTGCGGCCACCTTGGGAGGGCGGGCGGCGCGACGCCCCACGCAGACTCGGATGGATCTTGCCCTCCCTGGGCGCTGCCAGGAACCAACCGACATCGCCTCGAACCCGTCCCCTGAGGCGCGCAACGCAGCACCTCCCCCTGCGGAATTGACTCGTAGAGCTTCCCTAAGCTAGCAGCTGGAAGCTTAAGAGTAATTCGGACGCACTGGCGGGCTAGTTGGCTCGAAAAATCTCGACGGAACTTTTGCTGACTTTTGGTCGGTTGAAAATTTTGTTCCCGAAATTTATCAATTCGTTTGAACTATAGTATTTTTCCCGTGATATTCGATCTTATTCCCGCTCGCCATCTTGATCTCAGCTCGATCGGGTGAATATTACTATCGAAAAACACTGTGGCGGGATCGGCCGTTTTGAGTCATCTTGATACGCGCTGACGGTTTTCTGAACATAACTCGAGCTTTAGGACAGCTACAGAGCTGGTAAGCACAGCTAATCGATGTAGAATGATTAGGCGCGTTCGCCTGTTGAATCCAGAGGTCTGAACTCGGTCTGTTAGCCGAGCTAGGTCCGCAAACCTATTCGTATTATTCGAGTCATCTTGGCAGGAACTCTCGGTTTTCTGTACTTAACTCGAGCTGTAGGACAGCTACAGAGCTGATGTTTACAGAAACCGATTCAGAATCATCAGTTGCGTTTGTCTGTCGAATCCAGAGCTCTGAACTCGGTCTGCTGCCCGATCTAGAATCGCGATACTATTCGTATTGGTCGAGTCATCTTGAGAAGTGCTCTCGGTTTTCTTCACTCAACTCGCGCTGAGGGGGGCTACAGTGCTGGTGGTCACAGGAATCGATTTGAAGACATCAGGCGCGTCCGCCTGTCGAATCCAGAGCTCGGAACTCGGTTGCTGCCCGAATTAGGTCTGCGAAACTACTGTATTGTTCGAGTCATCCTGAGAGGTGCTGTCGGTTTTCTGCACTTAACTCGGGCTGTAGGGGGGCTGCAGGGCTGGTAATGACAGGAGTCGATTCGCAGACATCAGACGCGTCCGCCTGTCGCATTCAGAAGTCAAAAAATATTCACTATGAGTCGGAATGTTGGTAGGTGCTGTCGGTTTTCTCAACTTAAGTCGAGCTAGGAAGCTCTACGAGTCTCCCGGCGGTAACCAAGGTTGACGGTTTACCGCCGGCGCCCAGTTATCGCATGCCCTTTCAGATGTTCATTTGTTTTGGATGGACCCGGGGTGCGTCCCTGCATGCACTCAATCACGGTTTTTTCTCGGATTTCGACCTCTGGGTGCAGTTTTCGGGCCCTGGGGAGCCAAAGACAACATCCCTGCATGAAAAACGGAGTCCGGGGAAGGGCTCAAGAATTATGGGGCCCACGGGTTGAACCCAGATCGCCCAGCAAAGCACCCCAATAACAGCAAACGCGAAGAGACGGGTCCAGGAGGTGGAGGTCGGCCGGTCAAAACGTGCATTCCTAAGTTTAGGTCGGGCATGTCCTCCAACAGGCGGGCTTTGGACGACAGATAAAACATAGTCAACAAGATGCTCGAACATGGTAGCACATACTCAAGAAATCGCCCCCGGTCTTTTTTAAAACTTTGTTTGAACTTTCCTCCTGTAGCGGGCTGGGTATTCGAAGCCAATCTGGCGCCAATCTGGCAGGCCCAATCTGGCAGACGGGGGGCAATCTGGCGAGGGAGCCACCGCGAATCCAGCCTGGCGAATGACCCAAATCCTCCGATTTGGCCAGGCCAGCTTGGCCCTTGGGGCCCAATCCCTGCCAGTCTGGCCTTCGAGGGAGGAGGTGGGGGCGGGGGGAGGGAGCGAGAACGGAGAAAGGAGAAGGGAGGGAGGGAGGGAGGGAGGGAGGGAGGAGGAGGAATGGGATGAGGAGGAGGATAAGGATAAGGATAAGGCCCTTGGGGGTCTGGTCTCACCGCCTACCGAGAAAGGCATGCTGACCCCTGGGTGGGATATGGATGCGAGCCCCCTTCACCAGCTGTAGGCTTGGGAGCCGCCTGAGGCGACGGGGCCTGCCTCCGTTGAGGCATGGACCCCGAGCCTCGCTAGCAGGGGAACCCCGCTCGGTGGACATTACGAAAGAGACTGCGGGCGAGCCTTAGTTGCCCTCGTGCGTCGAGGGCGCACTGAGCTCGCTGAGGGCCGTCCCACCCCCTCTCCCCCACCGCACTCCCGCGCCCAACCTCCCCGACGCTATAAGGAAGATGCAGCTCAATGCTGCTTTTCACTTATCTGCCTGTAGTATCTCTCACACCGACGCGCCAAATGCGCGACTGGGCAACAGCTTGATGATGATATTATTTGTGTGAGCTGAAACTGCGACGTTCTACATAACCTCTGGCATTGTATAGCGCTCTCCGATTTTTTGTACCACCCCAACCTCGATCCATGCAGAAAGTGCGCCGTGTACTTCTTTTTCTTGGTAAGGGAGACCCATTCTGGAACAAATGCTTCCAAAAGTCATATCCTCGCCCTGTGAAAAAAGATCGTAAACTCTGTCAACTACCTTTCCGTTTGTGTCTGCCTTGCTCCCCATTGCTCGGGTTTCTTCCAATATCTGAAATATGTCATTGTCTGCTGGCGTTCCATATTCGTCGCAATGCCTGTGCGCAAATTCCAGGATGTGTGTGTCCAAAATACTTAACTGCTGTTCGCTTGTTGTCTCCAAATTGTTGTTGTCGTTTTCTTCTTCGGCATCGTGTCCCAAACAATCCTTATGGAATTCAGTGATTGGCGATTGCGCGGCGAACAAATGTAACCCATCGGAATATGTATCCAGCATCTGTCTGAATTGTACAATGCATTCGTCTGTGTAAAATGAAGCAACCAATTCTTCAAAATAAGCTGCATGACTGTGTTGTGAGTCGTCCAAAATATCGTATGTTTCGACATTGCCTTTAGAATCCAAGCTGATGCCCACTTCCTCCGGTGCGAATTGTCCATCGATATCCTCGCGTCCTGGCTGTACTTCCTCGTGAGATGTCGCTGCAAACTCCAGTCCTGGACGTGTCATGTTCATGAGTTCCATGTGCATGTCGCTCTCAAAGTAAATCTTCCCCTCAAGTAATGGCGAATGTTGTTTATGTGTCGGGCCTGGCGGATGGGGCGAGTGGGCGTGGTCTAAGATGGAAAGGCTGGCTCTCTGCGAATGCAATGCGTGCGTACGCCGAATGCGCTTTCGCCTTTTCATGCTGGAAGTCTCAGTGGTCACACAATGCGGCGGCACGCTGAGAACAAACATGATGAGAAGCCAAGAAAGTACAGTAACAGGAATGTGCTACGGTTTCTACTCTCTGCCCCTAGACGGCCCCCCAGTCCCCCCTGCCCCCAAAGCTGTGGGTGTGGGGCGCAACACTACCTCGGGTGCGATCCTGCAATCCTTACGGCTGGGCGGCAGTTTCGATGCCCTCAAACGGCAGCCTATGAGGAGGAGGAGGAGGAGGAGGAGGAGGAGGAGGAGGAGATGGAGGAGGAGGAGGACGAAAAGGAGGAGGACGAAAAGGAGGAGGATGGACGAGGAGGGACACGCCCGACTTGCTCCGAAGTGTTCCAGGGGGACTCCAGGCGGGCGGGGCAGGAGCGAGGGCACGCACGTGCCCACCGCGGCCGCTGACGGTGCGCCTGCGCGTGCCTGCTGGCAAGACAGCGCCACACCGTGAGCGCCCAGGCCGGCACCGTGGCCAGCGGTGGTAAAGAGGAGAAGGAACGATGCACATACACCGATTCTGGCCAGGCCCATCCTGAGCCCAGGATCGGTGCATACGCCCTCCGACCTTGGCCAGGAAGGCAGATGCACCGATCCTGTGTCAAGGATGGGCCTTGCCAGGATCGGTGCATGTGCATAGTCCTCTTCGCCCGAGGTGGGGCGGGAGCGCGAGTCCTGGATCAATGGCAAGGACGGCTCAGGCGAAACGTTTCTGCAGGACCAGCTGCCGGCCAGGGCGTCCTCGGGCTCCCCGTCCCCACGGTGGGCCTCTTCGGTGCCTTTTCTTCCCTGCTGCCGCGATTTGAGCCCTCTGGCAGAACGCTTTCCGGGGACAGTGCGCCAGAGGTCTTTGACCCTGCCTGGTGCTGCTCCTCCGATTACTCCGCCTCCTCCACCTCCTTCCATTCCTCCACCCCCTCCCCAGCCTCCATTATCTCCCTCCCTCTCTCTCTCTCTCCCTTGTTTCTCTCTTTCTGTCTTTCTCTCTCGCTCTCGCCCTATCCGTCCTCAGCCTTCCAGTTGTTGAAGTCGCCCATATGCCTCGTGGAACTGACACTGTTACAATCGAGGTTGAGGGAGGTGGGCGTCACACGAGTGGCAAGGATACCAAACATGCATGGAAAAAGCATGCGTATGTACACGGGCACATTGTTCACCCTCGATGGCTGCAAGAGGCCACGATGATGATACGTCCACTCTGCACAAAACAGCCGAGCCCACCACCTAGCATCTCATCGATTGGAAGAGATCGAAGCTAACGATGTGTACATCTGAATGCAAGCCTGGGGCAAGGACCTGAAAGGCGCGCCGCATGGAACCCATACCAACGCCAATCAACTGAACTACGAACAATTGGAAACAAGACTATCCGCCTTCAACTGTTCTGCCTCCGCTGAACCTAACCAAACAAAGGCACACGCAACAGATCCCATGGGGTCCCATGCAAGGCTTCCCGCCAAGAAGGCGATCCCTCCACCCTGCGCTACACGAGCTGTGTGACACAAAGGCGACACCCGAAGCAGAACATTTGACGAACCGACCTACCTGCATAGGTGCGATCATGACGCCCATCCGCACATGCGCTGACATACATAGCATTCGCATGAGGGGTGCCGATGGCAATTCGCTGTTCGCACGCACCTCGATTTGAAGCCATTTTGCAAATCGCTCAAGTCTTGGCCCTTGCACACCCTATCCCAGACACATGCGCCCTAACCACAGCGAAGAGCCCCCCTGGCACACTCACGCGGAAACGCGAGCATGCAGACTCACTGAAATAAGCGTGAGAGCGTTGCGCGCTCTGAAGTTCTGGCCAGCCCGTCTATGCCGATGTGAGCAATTGCTCGACGTGCACCCTGTGCCCTGCGAAGCTAGCCGCCTCAACAGATGTAGCCCAGAATCAGAAAACACCATGATAACACTGCAATCGTACTTTGTTGGGCGGTGTATCCAGAGAGAGAGAGAGAAAGAAAGAGAGAGGCAGGGAGAAAGAGAGAGAGAGAGACAGAGTGAGACAGAGACAGAAAGAGAGAGAAGGATAAGGAACCAAAAAAAGAGAGAAAGAGAGAGAGAGAGACCAGGGAATAGACTGACAGGCAGATAGACTCACAGACAGACAGACGGACATACTCAGACAGACAGACAGATAGACATACAGACAGACAACCATATCGAGACAAACATATCGACCGACCGACCGACAGACAGACAGACAAACAAACAAACAGACACACACACATATCTATCGGAGGTGAGGGGGTGAGATCGAAGTGGAACGGAGAGCCCCCCTACCGGGAAATCGATTTCGGTTTCGTGTTCGTGCGTGCCGTGCGTGCGGGCGAGGCGAAGCTGCGTGGGCGGGCGAGAGAATGTCTCCTGTGGCTGAAGCGCGGCCGGACCAAATGATTCTCCACCGGGCGGCCGGTGGCGCGCGGTGTCCCGCCAGTGTCCCGCTGGTGTCCCGTCGGTTCTCCTGTGGCTGAGGCGCGGCCGGACCAAATGTTTCCCTTCCGGGCGGCCGGTGGCGCGCGGTGTCCCGCCGGTGTCCCGCTGGTGTCCGTCGGTGTCCCGTCAGTGTCCCGATGATGATGTGGATGATTATGATGATGATGGTGATGATGATGGTGATGATGGCGATGATGATGATGATGATGATGATGATGATGATGATGATGATGATGATGATGATGATGATGATGATGATGATGATGATGATGATGTTGTGTTGTTGATGATGATGACGTCGATTGTGAGATCGATTGTGATATCGATAGTGAGACCGAATGTGAGATCGATTGTGAGATCGATAGTGAGATCGATTGTGAGATCGATAGTCAGATCGATTGTGAGATGATGATGGTGATGATGGTGATGATGGTAATGATGGTGATGATGATGATGGTGATGATGATGACGATGATGATGATGGCGTCGATTGTGAGATCGGTTGGGAGTTCGACTGTGAGACCGAATGTGAGATCGATTGCGAGATCGATTGTGATATCGATAGTGAGATCGACTGTGAGATCGACTGTGAGATCGATAATGAGATCGATTGTGAGATCGATAGTGAGACCGAATGTGAGACCGAATGTGAGATCGATAGTGAGATCGATAGTGAGATCGATAGGGAGACCGAATGTGAGACCGAATGTGAGATCGACTGTGAGATCGATTGTGAGATCGATTGTGATATCGACAGTAAGACCGAATGTGAGACCGAATGTGAGATCGATAGTGAGATCGATAGTTAGATCGATAGTGACATCGGTAATAAGATCGAATGTGAGATCGATAGCGGGATCGATTGAGTGAGACGTTGGTTCCCCCTCCCCCCTCACCTCCTTATCACCCGCAGGGTGGTCGTATAGGTGTATATATATATATATATACATATACCGACCACCCTTCGGGTGATAAGGAGACAGTGGGGGGGGGAGAGGGGCGGGAACCAACATCTGACTCAATCGATCTCACTATCGATCTCAATCAACGGGACACCACGGGTCACCACGGGACACCACGGGGCACCACGGGACACTTGTCGACCTCACTATCGATCCCACTATCGATCTCACTCCACAGGACACCACGGGACACCACGGGACACCTCGGGGCACCACGGGACACCGCGGGACCCCTCTCGATCTCACTATCGGTCTCACTATCGATCTCACTCAACAGGACACCATAGGACACCACGGGACACAACGGGACAGCTCGGGGAACCACATCGATCTCAGTATCGATCTCACTATCGATCTGACTTTTTGGGACACCACGGGACACCACCTCGGGGCACCACATCGATCTCACTTGTTGGGACACCACGGGACACCTCGGGGCACCACATCGATCTCAGTATCGATCTCAGTATCGATCTCACTATCGATCTCACTCAACGGGACACCACGGGACACCTTTCGATCTCAGTATCGATCCCACTATCGATCTCACTTTTTGGGACACCACGGGACACTACGGGACACCTCGGGGCACGATCTCACTATCGATCTCACTCAACGGGACACCACGGGACACCACGGGACACCACGGGACACCACGGGACACCGCGAGCCACCGCCCGACGGACGGACGGACGGGCGGGCGGGGGAGAATCATTTGTCTTGACTTCGCCCTAGCAGCGGCGGACGCCACGGGACACCACGGGACACCACAGGACACCGCGGAACACCGCGAGCCACCGCCGGACGGGCGGCCGGGCGGGGAAGAATCATGTGTCTTGACTTCGCCATAGCATCGGCGGGTTCATTCCTCTCGCGCGCCCGCGCAGCTTCGCCTCGCCCGCACGACACGGACGAAACGAAACGATCTCCCGGCTGGGGGTCTCTGTTCCACTGCGATCTCACCCCCCTACCTCCGAGATATGTATTGTGGCTGTCGCGGCCTCGCGCAAATCGACGAGGCGGAGTAACACACGCACGCAAACAAGAACACACACACACACACTTTGAGCGTCGCCGGCTAGGCGACGAAGTCACGCGGCCGATCGGTAGTTGTGCCCGGCTACCGCACGGCCTCGCGCGGAGCGACGAGGCGGAGTAACACACGCACGCAAACACGAACACACACACACACACACATTCAAACACACACACACACACGCTTTGAGCGTCGCCGGCTAGGCGACGAAGTCACGCGGCCGATCGGTAGTCGCGCCCGGCTACCGCCCAACTTTGTGAGGAAAGGGAAGTTGGGAAGGACCGTACGTTAGGTT